CCCCCCCCCCCCCACCCACCCATAGAACTAACACCTTCACACCAATTAAAATTGGTGGAAGTTAATTGTTGAATTTAGCGTGCAAAAAAATTCAAAACGCACGTTGTTGTCGTGATATGACTTGGAATAATAGATGCCATCTACTACCCATTGCGCCATTCCCTCGGTCCATGTGTAGTGATGACGTCAGGATACCTGCATGGTTCCCAAGTTGCTAACCTTGGTTATTGCATATCCTCATTTAACACCTTGTCCAAAATACTCACCCGTTTGGTTGGTTTGGTGTTAGCTCAGCTGACCGAGGGTGGATGACCTGGACTGGCTACTGTTACCTGGACTCAGATTAAGATCCATATGGCATCTAGCTTGAGCTGTAACCCAAGGTTGATGAGTAGTATGCGGGAAACAAACGGCATTATAATAATGTACATTAATTCAGCATAATAAAGCAAATTAATTCCAGACGTCATTACCATGCAGTCGATATGGTAAGACAAGCATAATAAGGCACTTTAAATTCCGGAGATCATTACCAGTCGATATGGTAAGACAAGCATAATAAGGCAAGTTAACTCCAGACGTCATTACCAACCGACATGGTAAGACGTCAAGCATAATAAGGCACATTAATTCTAGGCGTCATTACCAGCCGATATGGTAAGACAAGCATAATAAGGCACATTAAATTCCGGAGGTCATTACCAGTCGATATGGTAAGACAAGCATAATAGGGTCCATTAATCCTAGGCGTCATTACCAGCCGATATAGTAAGACAAGCACAATATTGCATGGGGAAGGCTTCCCACTAGGTCAGCAAGTCGCATGCAGTTCTTCACAACACACCCTCGTGCATGTTGTGCTGACAAGAAAAAATATAGATATAGGACTGCTGATTATTATATACATGAAACGTACGATATATAGTACCATATATATATATATATATATATATATATATGGCTAAATAATCCAAAAACCTGGCTTATACTCCACCTTTCTCTTGGGCCCTAGTGCGCACATGAATCTGTCACAACGGTTAACCAGTTTTTTCTGGAATTGAAGCACTGTCAGGGGAAAGCAAAAAGCGTTTTGGCGGCTCGAGTTAGAAACAAACACAGATAAACACATGTACAATTGTTTAGCATGCAAGTTCGTGATTTTCCCGATATTTCATTCGAATGCGCGAGGTTTACAGACGGAAGGGCGTGAGTTTTGCGCCATTTATTTCACTATAGTTGCGACCAAACAATGGAGCATTCAATATACATGTGTTCTGCCAAGAAAGTGAGCCTCCTACCTGAGTCTGTAGCTGATAGACCATCCGCGTAGTAGCCCGAGATGTGTTCACATGCAGGATTC